ATATAAGTAATGTGATGTACTATGAAATGAAAATAAACAGGACACAACATAGTATTGCCAGTGCTAGTATTTATTTTAGAAATCATTAAAGTGCCAGTGGTCTCTATAATATATATATATAATTTTATATATATTTTTTGTATTGTGTATTTCTTTTCTCAACTGATTGAAAACAAACATTTGTCATTCTAATCCCAATTTCCCTGTAACCTGATTATTTCTGAAAACGTAGGTTAAAACGTAGCTATATTTATATTTTTTATCTTACTTTATTAACATATCTTTAAACTAATCTTAATGTTTTTTATTATTATTATTATTATTATTATTATTATTACATGTTTACTAGTGTTGTAGGATTACAGGCGAGCAAACACACATACAAAATTTGAAAATAAAAAAAAATAGGTTAAAATAGGTTAAATGCGACCAAAAAAAAAAAATTCTAATAAATGATATAAATAATAATAAAAAAAAAAACCCACAACATTTACAGCTCCAGTCATGTTCCAAAAAATCTGAAACTTGAAACATTAACGCGAACATTTCTCATTTTTCTAACTCCCTGGTACACTGTTATTAATTCAGACAGGGGGAGTGAGAGTGTGTTTGAGAGAGAGAGAGAGAGAGAAAGTGAGAGAGAGAGACTGAGAGAGAGATTGTCTTGCCCCCCTTCTTTTCTCCTCCCCCTTTCCCTCCTCTCTCCTTTTTCTTTTTTTTTTTTTTCATGAATGAATGTCCTCTCACTCACCTCCATTAAGTGAGCGCTGTAACAGGACACTGCCCTCCGACGCTGCCGCCGCGCCGCCACCGCCACTCGAGGCTCAGCCCACTCTTAAACTGCCACACTATAAGAGCAAGAGCGAGAGAGCATGTGGGACAGTGTCAGGAGAGAGAGAGAGAGAGAGAGAGAGAGACAGAGGGGGAGAGAGAGGAGAGAGAAAAGAGGGTGAAGGGTGAGAGGAAACTGCTGTGAAACATGTGATAGTGAGGCTTCAGCGAAAGGGCCTTACAGGGGAGTTCAGTGTCTCCTCGGCGGCTGGGAAAGCACCTTTTGCCCTGAGGGAGCCTCGCGCGCGCGCGCACGCTGACGCGCCCGCACACAGACACACACTCGGTCGGTGTGTGTGTGTGTGTGTGTGTGAATGAGATGCGGATTGAGAGAGCCGTGCTGCTGCTGCTGCTGCTGCTGTCACTTTAAGCCTGTTACTGATTACACTCCGAAGAATGCAACGGGAGGAGGAAAAAGAAAAAGGGAGATTGAGGAGACATGTAAGGATGTGAAATATTTCTATGCGACTGAGGTCGTTACCCACAAGCCTCTCTGTCTTTCTCGTTCTCACAAACTCTCTTGTTCTCTCTCTCTCTCCCTCTCTCTCGTTCTCTGTCTGTGTTGGACCAATTTTTTTTTTTTTTTTTTTGGACATCTCCAGGAAAGACGTAAGAAGAAAAAGAAGAAACCTCTGGTGAGAAAGAATCAAAAGCAGGAGGAGGAGAGACCATGAGGGAGGAGGAGGAGGAGGAGGAAGGAGGAGGAAGGAGGGGGTTCCCCTCATTCCGAAAGTCAGCAACCGGCGAGGAATCGCAACTCTCACCCCAGAAGGGTAAGTGAAAAAAAAAAGAAAAAGAAACGAAGAGTGAAAGAAAGAAAGGATGGAGAAGAGGGAGAGAGAGAGAGAGAGAGAGAGAAAAAAGAAGTCACTTTTCGCTGCTGAGGCCACTGTTGCTGCTGCTGCTGTTAATGCTGAGGCTGATGGATATCATATGTTAGAAGTTAAGGTTTGGGAAACTGCTCCCAGATCCTAGGAAAGAAAGTAGACTGACTGGAGGAGAGGAAGGGGGGGAGAAGAAGGAGAAGGAGCTTGTGAAAATCCTGCTTGTTTTTTTGTTTTGTTTTTTTGTTTTTACATGTCTTCCATTGTGCATTAAAATGCAAAATACTAATGATTTGATGATGAGTTAAGGTTAAAAAAAAAAAATGTCTTCCAGACCCTTGACGAAGGTTAAAGGGGGGGAAGTTATCACTAAAATATTTTTGTATTTATTTTGAAAATATTTGGATTTGTTACTTGACTTCTCCGGTCTCACTGCCGCACGGCGTCAAAGGGACTGATGTTTGTTTCGAGGTTCCGGGGGTGTTTGTTGATATGAGCAGATTTCACGTAGTGTTCAGAAATGTTCGTCAGTCACCTCCGACGGGGGGAACGGGTGAAACGGAGAAACCCTCACGTTCCGAACGTTTGTGGCCCTCGCTGAGCTCCAGAGGGGTGGTTTCACGGTGGCATGATCGGTTGTTGCACTCTCACACCGCATATCTGACCTCTTCATTTTTGTCGCCTTCTTCTTCTTCTTCTTTTTGTATCGTGAGCCGCTCGATTCCTTCCTCTTTGAGAGAGTTCCAAAAGCAAACGCAAAAGTAAATGAACCGAAACGAAACGCGTGTCATACAGTGTGACTTCTTTATGAATGGACCCAGCTGGCAACTCGTGTGATTGGCTGAGAGAGGAAGTGATGACTGATGAAATCAGAGGTGGAGTTCCTGATCTCTTAAAGCACCACTGCGTGCATGTGTGTGTGTCTATATATATATATATATATATATATATATATATATATACTATATGCTTGTTTTTGTGTCCAATGTGGACCAGCTGAAAGACCGTCCATTCACAAGGACCGGAATGTTCCAAAATGTCACATTGAGGGGGGGCGGGGGTTAGATGTTGTTCAATCAGCCAAATGAAATGTAACACAACCTAGAACCCATTCCGATACCCCTCACTAGAAAGACTCAACTCAAAGTGGTGGGTGGTGGCGCCCCCAACAGGGGTTGCGGTGCCATTGCGGATGAATGAATATCTGATAATACTTAAATTGCATTTTTTTTATTTTTTAACGTGGCAATGCTAGCATAAAATGGTAGCATAAAAGTAAATACAATTACATTCTCTTATGAACCAAAGGGGGGCAGCAGAGAGAGTGACTTAACTGACAGTTTTAGCTAACCCACGCATTTAGGTTGGGGGTTTATACTTCTAGGTAAAATTAGAAGTAGTGAAGTACGATCTTCATATTTCAGTTTGAGGGCTATATATGTTTGTTCAAGTGAGATTAGTCGTGTTGTGCGTGAGTGTGTGTGAGTGTTTCTGGCCAGCTGTTGCTCTTCAAACTCTCTCTTTCTGTGACTAAGAAGTTGCTCTTTAGTCCAACTGTCATCGGCTTTACTCACTCTTCGGTGTCGTCTTAATCGCACAGCTGCTCCGTAAGTGAAAAAGTACACTGAATGTAGTAATACTACGTGTACAATATTTGTACACGTGAGGGTCGGATCCAGATCTGAATTGCGACTCAAAAATACAGGGTTTCACCCAGAAAATCTGAGCCATAAATTTCAGACTTGGTTAGGAAAAAAACAGTCCTAGCGAATAGTAATACCGCCCCCTACAGCCTGCTTTGGGAGGCAATTTCTGCACCCTTCTAGAGTTACTGAACTACAGTATACAACACAACAACATAGATGACAAAATGTGTAAAAAAAAAAAAAAAATCTCACCAAAGTGAATTCCTAAAAGCGACATTTTTAAGACAATCGGGTTTAAAAATTCCAGCCAATTTTGAAACTAAGTTACGCAAGTACTGTTTCACCCCAACCAACGGACAACAGAATTGTCTCGCCAATTTCGCGGTCTGCCACCAGGAGAGTGACCTGTGTACAAATTTACCCCCAGACTTTACGACACCATGAGGTGTTCCTCTATTTCTCTCTGTGTGTGTGTGTGTGTGTGTTTGTTCGATAAGATCTGGACACCGCAGTGTTTCCGCTGCGGGGGTGTGACGTTGCACGTTACTGATTACAGATTGTCGGTGAGATGCGTTGCAGGTATCTTGATGAGGGAAAATAAATTCCTCAGTACAGATCAGTGTGGAATCTGACCCTCTGCCTTATCACTGTGCCTACACACTGAACCCTGTCCTGGTTGACGAGGCAGGAAGTGACAGAGCAGACCGAACACACTCCTGACCCCTGGATGGGAAAAGCATTGCAAGTTATTTCATATATTGTATAAAGTCTTTCTAGGAAGGTCTGCTAGCACAGCTAGCTACACCTTTAAGATGTTACTTTATACAAACAGATTAAAGACCAGGCCCCAATTTTCACTGGTTAGTAAAAAAAAAAAAGTCAAATAAAAAATGTTCCATTTTTTGGTTATATCTCGTAGCCATTTTAGACGCGTTGCGACAAAGGATGTCCGATATTAACTTTTAGCCGATATCCGATAGGCCGATCACTGTCCAATCACTTTCCGATTCCAAGTATCAACTGATACTGATATAGTGGGGCAGTGGTTGCCACCTGCTCACTAAGGTGACGGGTTAAAGCAGTGTTTATTATAATTATTTTCTGACATGCACCCCCTAGAGGACAGAAGTTTTTTTAACCCCCCCACCCTGAATTAAAATACTACTAAGCACCTGGTAATATTTATTTATTGATTTATTGATTTATTGATTTATTGATTTATTTATTGATTGATTTATTGATTTATTGATTTATTTACGAGAAAATCCAACAAGAAAATCGACGAGAAAATCCAACAGTTCCAAAGACCAAAGAACAAGTACTGCAGAAAAGTCACTTCTTTTCTTTCACGAGCTGAAATGCTGCCATCTAGTGGCTTTTACTTTTACATACAGCCGTTTTTCCCCCGAAACTATTTTTAGGGCACACATCATTTGGCGAAACCCAGGCTTTGGGTTATCGGCTTTTCATAATCGGAGGAAAAACTGATAACGATTCTTACCCGATATTACATAAGTAATACCGGGCCGATATTATCGGACATCCTACTTTTTTGAGTAACTGCCAGTTTATATTGAGTTAAGTTTGAGTCATCCTTTAGCTCGATTTTTGCACTAACTCTTCAATACACGTGCAGAAACTCTTAGCATAACTGTTGATTATCTCTCTTGAATCCAGGACCTTCTGCACGTATAGCAGATGCGATATCCTCTAGAGCAGGCGTGGGCGAACTTTTCGACTCGCGGGCCGCAATGGCGGGCAAACATTTGACAGGGGGGGGGCCGGGGTCAGGAGCAGATAGATGGAGCGTTTGTGTGGATAAGATAAATGACATTGATGTTAAAATCATGCTTTAAAGCTAAAATGTTGCTAATGCTAACATTTTAGCCTTTGAGGATAGATAGAGGGGTTGGTACGGTGCAGTGGGATTTGGGTGGCGGTCGTGAAGACTGCTGCCCCGGTAACGGTTAAGCAGCTGAAAATGGATGGATGGATGGATGGATGGATGGATGGATGGAATTTGGACAAGTTTGGTAGTTTGTCCATGCCCGCTCTAGAGTCCTGAGAATACATGTCAACATATGTATGATTTTTTGGTGTGTGTTTAAAATCTCTTGTACCTAATGGTCTCGAGGACGGCCATGACAGGTGTACCCACAATGCAACTAGCTCTTTCCTAGCACTAGAACCAGTATTTAAACACCTTGAATGCAACCTTCTGCCTGCAGGCAAGACATCAACTCTAGATGACGGTGAAGTCGCTGACGTCGACGTTAATATTTCTCCGAAAACACTAATTGAGGAAGATTAAACATCTAGGTGCGACTCGATGAATCAACGTCTCTCAAGCTTTTCGAACACGGCAAAACGTCGCAGCACTATTATTACATCCAATTAAAGCGATAAATAGCTTCGATCACTCCGACGGTACTGATTATAGTTAATGATGATGTAATAATGATGATGATTGAACATGTCGACAGGGGCTTTAGGTTTAGCTGGGGCTTGCCTTACAGTCATTTACATATTTTGAAATTGCGCCAGGAAAAATACCGGAGATCCACGGTGAACACGTGACGCGATTAAACGTAGCTAGCAAACCATCCGACCGGCCTTCATATTTGGTGAATGACGCAGAAACACTCGCTCAGGGGAAAACATGAAGACGAACAAGTAAAACGGAAGACAAGAATATCTGAACTCTGAGCACAGATCGTCTTCTTCTCCAAATTCTAAAGAAAAAAAAATAGAAAAATTTGACATTGACGGTTCAAGGACGTTTAGCGAGGTATGCGTTAAAAGCTGCTCGAAAGGTTTTAAGACTACAGCCAGGGGGGGGGCTGAAACCAAAAATACTTTACTGGTAAACACATTTTGAAGATGTTATCAACAGAATCGGACCTAGCAGTTTGCATCGTACAGAACTCCGCTGAGAGGTCGTAGTTTCCGTAAGATTCACCTCGGTCCCAGGAAGCGGCCAAAAACCAATTCATGTTTTGTCAGTGGATTCTTTTGAGGAAGACGGAATGACGCAACCGGGTCTGCGTCTCATACGACAAACTCTTCAAGCATTCACTTAATTACAGATGCTCACATGTGCGAGCTTGTGTCGGGAGTCGAAAAGGACTGTGACAACGCGTCCCCGATTCCGACACCGCGACGGGGGCTTACGTAACCAAAAACTGGGTTAAGCGGGAAGAACAATGTGAGCCATCACTTGACTCATCCGTCCCCCCCCCTTCCCCCCTCCCGTTCCAGGGCCAGCACTTTCCGTTTTTTTTTTTTTTTTTTTTTTTTTTTTTTTCTTTTCTGCATGACTCGTCTTTGTTTACACAGCAACAATAAGAATGCGCTCACGAGCTCCGTCACTCACGGCCAGATTATGAAGTTAGGATCTTCAGACGTCATGGCAGTAAAGGCCGTTTGTGTGTGTGTGTGTGTGTGTGTGAGATTGTTACAACGGTATTCTCACCACATGCACCTGGCCTGCTTCCTCCTTTACCCATATATGGACAGAGCTTCCCCTACCTGGGCCTCAACGTGAAATCCAAAAAAAGCATGTCTATGTGTATCTGTGGGTGTGCGTGTGTGTGCTGTAGTGACGGATGCACGTCATGGAAAACCAGGATCAATGGGCACGGTCTGCGGAGCAGCGTTCGTAAGGTGTTCCTTTTGTTTTCCAAAGGTAATCAGTTAACGCGGTGACTCAGCCAGGAGGTGAAGGAAGGGAAGGAGGTCAGAAGAACTCTGAAGTCCCTCTGGTTTCCAACAGAGTCAGCTTAATTCTACAATACAATACTCCATAATACAACAGGAATGTGTTTGAGTTTTGAAATTTTTGTTCATTCAATATTTCACTGGTTAAGATTTCAATCAGTGACACAAACTGACCACAAGAGGCAGCAGAGTCATGTCAAATCTTTTTTTTTTGTTTCAAATCTGTATTTTAGTGAAACGTGTCAAATCTCTCTTTTTTTGTTTTGTTTCAAATCTGTATTTTAGTGAATATCTTTAGCGTATTTTTTGAAGTATTTACTCAAAAATGATAGGTTTAAGCGCCAAAGGGAAAATATGCGATTTTTGGAACATATCGCTTTTTTTTTTTCCACTCCCTGCTGCCTGTTTTTTATCAGTTGAAATTCTTGGTCCAGATTTACTTCAGTGACACACTCTGACCACAAGAGGCAGCAGAAGACCTGTCAAATCTCTTTTTTTTGTTTTGTTTCAAATCTGTATTTTAGTGAATATCTTTAGCGTATTTTTTGAATTATTTGCTCAAAAATGATAGGTTTAAGCGCAAAGGGAAAATGCGATTTTTGGGACATTTTTGAAATCCTTGGTCCAGATTTACTTCAGTGACACACTCTGACCACAAGAGGCAGCAGGGGACCAGTTTTTGCGTGTTTTCACGATAAAAACTGTTAAATCTGTATTTTTGTTTAAAATCTGTGTTTCGATTATTTTCTTAACGGATAATTGTGAATTATTCAGTTCAAAATGATACCTTTAAGTGCAAAACATATCAAATATATTTTTGTCAGTTTTTGACTGCGGCTTCCGTCACTGGGTAAGAATTTGTTTTATCAGTTTAAATGCGTGGTCGAGATTTACCTCAGTGACACAAATCGACCACCGGAGGCAGCGGTAAACCAGCAAGTTCTGATTAGACGCACCAAAACCTGGTGTGGATTTGTGTTTTTACGTCGTTTTTAAAGTTCATGTTTTCAAGTTAAAAACATGATCTAAAGACTCTTTTTGACGGGTTTTCGCCTCGTACCCTCAACGCTACAAGCGCTAAACTAAAACAATGCTACTTTCAGTGTTCCTCTCCTTCTCTTCCACCGCTGCCTTCTTTTCTGCACCTTTGCCATGCCTTTATAAAGCAGAAGCCTGAGCAGGGACTTCAATTTTCCCTCCTCTCTTCATCTTGCCAGCTATTTCCCATCAGTCCAGCCCCCTGAAAGAGGCTGCAGACGCCCCTTCTTCTTGCTCCTCTCTCAGCCCAGGCCTTGGGCTCAGCCTGAGGCTGGGGTACAGGCTCCTGTGATCCAGGATTGGAGGAACTCTTTGGCTTTAGAATTTACGAGACAGTAAATTTTAGTGTAACTGCCACCTGTCAGTCGCAGTGTTCCTTTGTCTAACATGCAGAACAACCCGTTTAATCTTCTAAAAAAAAAAGTCCGATTTAACAGTTGATATATAGGGGTCGAATTCAATTCATGTCACATGGCCAGAAGAGACGGTGTGATCAATGTCCCTTAGTGGTAGCAATTAAACTACTTGGGTTAGATTATGTAGAAAAAAAAATTGTAAAAATAAAAAATAAAAAAATAAAAAAAATTTTAAATAAAATATGAAATAAAATATTAATATTAATTAAATCTGAATTGAAAAATATATGGCAATATAAAATGTTTTATTATCGCAAAAAAAATTGCCTAAAAAACTACTAGTCATTATATCAAATCAAAAATTCGTTTGAATGTTTAAAAAAAAAAAAAAAAAAAAAAAAGTTTGAATGTTCAGCTCTCATCTCGTTTTTGCCCAAATATTTTTGGGCTCGGGAGCTGCTTGTAAAATGTCCAGGTCATAATTGTATATATTTCATTTGAGTAATCTGGATATATTTTATACAAACAGCTTATATATGGCGATTAGCATCTAAAAATAATATAACATAGGTATTTTAATTTAATAAAAAAAAATGTTAAAATCACTTTAATTGCGCACGGGGGCCAAAATAAGATGGGGAGCGATTACGACCAAAATATGAAATATAAATATAATTTAAAGGTACAAATCGAATCCTATCGCGGCCTTACAGTTACATGAAGGTAATCAGTGAGCCAAAATATACGGCGTCTCACTCTAACCGTGGTGATTGGTCAAGCCAAGAGAGTGCGTTTTTTGTGATTGAAATCTACTTATCGGCTAGGTGATTTTATATTCCATGTGAGAGAAAAAAAAGAAAAAAAAAAAAAAAAGATCGTCACCCAGAAAGATACAGAACACAACGTGTGAACACATAGAAGGGAAGGGGAATGCATCCACACCCAGCCCCACACAACCCACGCACACAGACACACACATGGTGGTTACCCTCTACTTAAAGGCGATGGCAGGGTAATGATTCGGTTCCTCTTTGTGTGTGTGTGTGTGTGTGTGTGCTGGACATTTGTCACTTCTGTGGCGTGCATAGTACAGGCATCCGTTTGTGTGTGTGTGTGTGTGGATGTGGATGTGGTCAGGCTCAGTCATCTTCCAGGCAGCTCAGAGGAAACCCACATCAACTGCCGTTTCCACCACACTCTAGGAATAGATCCTTCACCCTCTGCA